CCTGTGGAAATAGAAAATTTGTTTAAAGCAACTCATGAATCCAGGTGATTAGAGGATTAAATGTACACACCTGGCTCAGTCCCAGTAAGGGCTATAAGGAAAGTGAAGTTCAAGAATCCAGATTTTTTCACACTTCTGGTTTTTTCCTTACTTTCTTCAGGAATAGTAAGTAGCTTCCTGCAAGAAACCAACATCTGCAAGATCACCTTGTGCTTTTTAATTCAGCTGCACATGACACATTCATGCATAAGTGCTTATTCTAAAGGAGGTTTACTGGTGTTAACATGTCACAACTTGAGTTCCTGGAAATACAACTAAACTTCTGTAGGCTTTGCTTCCTGCTCTCTGATAACGTTAACTTCTGTTGAAGATGAAAATGCCTCACTTTAATAATCTATGCTTTCTTTTAAAGACCTTGCCACCATGGAAGAAAGAATACTGAAGCGTTACTACAAAAAGGTCACAGAGTTTGTGGCAGATATGACCAAAATTTTTGATAACTGTCGTTACTACAATCCAAGTGACTCTCCTTTTTACCAATGTGCAGAAGTTCTTGAATCATTCTTTGTACAGAAACTAAAAGGATTTAAGGCAAGCAGGTAAGCTGAAGTGTTCCTAATCATAGTTGTTCTGTGGGTCCCCTGAAGTCTCCTTAATGCTTTTAGAAGCTTACCTTACATTCGTACAAAGATTTGCTTGTCCATGCGCTTACTTGCACAACTGCTTTTCTTTGAAGGGAAAAAAAAACAGTTCTATAACAGCCAACTGTCATTTTCAATCAATGTTAAGGCTTAAATATTATTTGGTTTTCTTTTTTTTCAGATTACTTTGTAATACTCATTCAAAATGAGATGTTGTATACAAGTTCAGTGTAATACCCATAGAGAACTTGAATGACCCTAAGTCATAGCTGCAGAAAACTTAAAGGGAATCATTTCTCAGGCAGGACATACTCTGTGCTGTTCTGAGTTTTAATTATGTTCTGCTGTGCATCAAATCCTTTTTAGTGGCTGAAAAGAGACTGTTCTTCTGTGAAGCTTATAATTCAAGGAAAGAACTTAAAATAGTTTGCTTCTCTAATCATTTTATAACTTACCTTATTTCAATTAGAGAGATAAATATGCTTTAAGATAGATGAAAAACTAAATACAATTCAAATTTGAGTATTTAAAATCAAATTTTCTTTTCTAATGTTTTTCTGTAGAAAGACTGAAGAGTATTTCCCTAACATAGACACTTCTGAAAACGAATAGGCCACTGTACTATGGATTTTTCTATTGTCTATCTGTATCCTTGTTGTACTCCAACATGAGCCAACTGTAACTGAATTACAAATCTTGAATGCTTTTCAGCATTATACAGAAATCTGTATGTGTGTGGTAGTTAAATTTGTCCATCTGACTGTAACAGTCAAAACTAAGGTTCCTAGTCTAAGATATTAATGCAGGATTAAATTCATTTGTAATCAAGTAAATTGAACACTTTGCTTTATACCTACTGCTGTGGAAGCTCTAATCCAATGGGAGTAATATTGTTGAGAGAGGATGTGAGACCAGATGGATTAGACCAGCATTTTTCCTTCCCAGTATAATACTGTAGTAATAATTTTTATTAGGTAGTTCTCAACTCATGTTTCTTTCATCATGCATTTGCTGATTATCCAGCGTCCAGTGCTTACACATTAATTTCATTGCTGCATTTTATTTGTTATTGTTTTTCATTTATACCATCTGTGTCCTTTCTTCTCTTGCAGATTGTGATATCTTTAGTCTGAACTGTTTTAACTGGAATCAGAAATTTCTTTTAATGTACAATTCAATAACATTAAATAGCCCTAAAAAATCCAGATCATTTGTCTAAAAAGTAAACAATGAGTATTTTTATTATTACCAGCAATCCTGCTGGTTAAACACAAATGTATTAACAGGAAAAAAAAAGTCCCATTCCTGGAAAGCTATAATGAGAGAAATGAAAACTTCATCTCAAAAGCCATGTATTTCATTGTTTTATTTTCAGTCACTAATGAAATTGTGAATGTCAAAGAAGACTTTTGCTGAATGGTGATAAGCAAAGATGTGATTTTTTAATATGCCTGGTTCAGTTTTTTCTATTAAGTTAATCCAAGGATTTCTTGAATAAATTTAAGCTGAATACACCTTATTATAAATATTCACCTGTATAAATTATCTTTTTCCTTTCCTTTTGATGTACTACTGTTATGTAAACATGAGAATAAAACTGACTTCAGGCATTTTGAAATATTCCATTGACACTGCAATTGGCAACTAGTGAAATATCTGTATACAGGACATGAAAATAAGAATAAAATTCAGGGAAAATTAAGTGGTTGTTTTGGAAGAGTTAAGACAGAAAAAAAAAAAAGAAGCAACACGATGGTTCCTAGTGATTTACCTGTGGCAACACCTTGCAGCAACTGTGTTTCCCAAAATGAAGGGTGCTTAATTCTTCACTTTCTTCTGTACTCTGCAGGTCCCATAACAACAAACTGCAGTCTACAGCTTCTTAGAGTTCTGCGTGTAAACCTAACAAACGAGCAAGAATCTGGTTGTCTGAAAGTTTTTAATTAAGAAGCCAGATGTTTTTAGTCAGGTTATCCTGACAAGACTCGATGTAAACTGCGTTTTTATTGGTCACAACAGTCAAATTATATCCTTGGCTTATTTTGTCCAAAGGACAAAGAAATAAAAATCAGCAGCACCACTTTCTTGTCAAGATCAAATTGTTGTACTATTGTGGCAGAAGCAGGAAACTTTGTTTTGTTGAAGGAGAGAGAGAAAGAGCAAGAAAATAAAAAGATACAGTAAATGGGGTCAAGTTTAACTCCATGGAAATGCCACGTCTGTTCTTCAGTGAAGAAGCTGGTTTAAAGTCCACACAGAAAACTTTGACTGTATTTATTTATTGTTGCAAAAAAGACGCTTTTTTATTGCTGCCCTCATTTGTCAGCTAATTATTTTTTCTTATAAAATCCAGCCCCGGTCACATGTAATCCATTCTGTATCTTAACATGATTCCTGTAGGTAAAAGTACAAGAAGACCTCTAGATGTCTTTTCTTTCTATGAAAGGAGCTGCTATGTACACATGTGCACACACACAGAACTGGGAATCAACAATGAGTTTGTCATTCATGGTAGATTAAAAACAAGCCAGAACAATTAAGCTTGCATAAAGGTTGGGCTAAGTGGTCATGGACTACAGACTCTGTTGCCTTGAATATAACAGTACAATTTGTCATTTACTCTACACCAGACTGAAACGAGTAAAATCTATTTGAAGGTATCTTGTTTGTAAACATTTGTCAGATTCTAATTTTTTTCTTTTGTATTAAAATTCAAAATATGGATGTATATGAAACAAAATAAATGGAGATAATTGTTCTCCCCACACATGTAGGTGTCCTTGAGTGTGCGCTAATATGTTTGTAACGCTTTGGGGATCTGGTGGAAAGCAAAGGTATATTTCAAGTAAGTGGGGAGGGAAGTGGAAAAGGAGATCTGACTTGACTTGGCTCCAAAGGGAGCATTTAGAACTTCTCTTTTTTTAAGCAGCTGTTATCCCGTTATAAAATTCCTACAGTGGTGCCAAAATTACTGTAACAGATAACGTGGTAGGAAGCATTTGGTGAAATGTCACTGCCCACTGCTGAATTAAGTGATATTTTGCCAAGTACCCTAGAAATGTAAAGTACCAAGTGTAAGTGTATCTATGAGAGGCATTCTAGATGGCTTTGTTGTTTCCTGTATAAGGAGTTGCTGGCAAGAAGGATAAGCTGTAGTCAAAAGAAGATGCAATTTGCAGATGTTTCTTTTTCTTTCTCACTTGCATACTGCAGAAATGACTTTCTCTGTTGTCTAGTTACTGAGCCATGATTTATATGCAGCTCTCCAACCATTTGACTTAAGCTTTTGCACTAATTCACAGTTAACTTCTGTTCAGTGAGCTGGGATTTCCCTGATGTATGAATAAGCTCCTTCTGGGTTTAACCTCACACCTTGCTATGCAAGAACCTTCTTTGTTGTTTTTTCTTAAAGATGTTGCTACTGACCACACTTTCTTATACTCACAGGCTCAGGTGTACAGATACTTCTGGGATAATTTTATCTAATAAAACCCATGTTTTTTGTACATGCAAATGTTGTCATTTAACCTATATGTGAAAATTAAAAATAATTGCTCAGTGTGAAAACAGTTATCCATTTACGCTTCTTGAAGTTAAAGAAGAGTAGTTGCATTTAGGTTCTGTTGTCCTTGACATTTAAGATAAAAATGCTGCATATTGTATGCATTGTGTTTTTAATGCAGAAAGGAAAAAATCACAGCTTCTAACAGTGTTTTAACATACCTTGCATTTCATCAAAACTTCGTAATATTTCTGTACTATATGACGTTTAAAACTTTCCTACCTGTAGGCAATAGATTGCTATGTTTTTAAAAACTTGTGGCAAACTGAAGAGTACTTTTTTTGTACCTTAAAGGACACATCATCCTAGACAAATAAAATAACGTGCTTGACTTTGATTTGGTGGTGTTTCTAATGAAACCATTGGTAATGTTGTGGTATATAGGTCTTGGCTTTTCTAGATTAGGTCTAATTGCTAGTGAATCAGTTTAATCAGGGAAATAATCCACATGATTTCATCTTGCTGAAAGTCGTCTTGTTTTTCAGTTGCCAATGAGTGTGGTGAGGCATTTTTCTTGATTTATTAGAGGTGATAGTTATAGTTAAATGGTGTTTCTAAATAAAAGCAGTCTTGTAAAAGTAATTAATTCCCACCTTCCTAAAAGTATGGTAAGTTCCTAAGATCTGTGATCTCTGTTCAGTCATCTTTTAATTTTTTATAAATAATAGCGTGTTTCAAAGTAGTCATGTATTGTAACATAGATTTTGATAATGTGAACCATTCCGGCTTGATTTTTGTTTCTCAGACAACTTTCAATCAATTTCCTATGACCTAAATTCAGTTCATCAAACAGTTAACGTGGATTTAAAGTTGGTTAAAAAGTCGAGCTTACCCAAAAGCCATGAATAGCCTCCTAGGAGGGCTGGAAGACAGCACTGCTCTACACCTGGATTTCTGTGTATTGGCTGCAGAATGTTCATGTGTGTTCTTGGGGGGGGGGAAACAAAATGATTTTCTGTGGGATACTTAACTTAGCATAGCAACTATTGCATCTAAGTAACATCTTCTTTTCAGTGTGGTTAATGCTGCAGGTTTTTTAATGGTAAGTGCTACATTTTGGAATTCCACATGACTCAGAATGTTTTTCTTCAATGCTGTAGCATGTGATAGGTCTGGTAAGAAGAGGAAACAGTAGTTACGCTTCCCTCCAGCTGTATTTCAGTTGGGCTGTGAAATGCAGTGGTTTGTTGCTTGGCTGTTGTGATAATATTTTAAGGAATGCCTTCCAAGAAGGAGAGGGAAGAGAAGATGTAATGCAAACAGGGGGAACAGAATACACTGCTCTTCAGGTTCGCTTCTAGAGCAACACTTGTACCTGAGGTAGCAGCAGAGGCTGTGTTGGTTGCTGGCCTTTTACTTTGGATTTGGATGTCATTGGCACTGGTATATTGTTATCTCTTCTGAGATAACATCTATGGCCATATCCCATTTTGGTTGTAGTTTTGCACCCGTGCTTTGCCTGCTTTAGATTACGATGATGTCTTGGAGGTGGGGATGGGTGCACAGTTGCTATTCTGGGCAGATGATTGATCTGGGACTTGCTCATTAGTCCCTGCACTGCATTTGAAAATAGAAACAAAGAAACTTGAGATGCACATGTAACCCTTCCTCCTTCCTTCCCCTGCCCCACCCTTAGAATCATTGCCAGGAATGGTTTTGCCAGATCAGGAGCCCTCTTAATTAAGTCTTGGGAAAATTCCACCTATGTAGCTATGCTCTATATGACCTCTTTCACACTGCAGAAGTGAGATGGTATATTTTAGATGAACACGAACTACTGGTGAGTTTATGTTCTATGGTAACAGTTTAGGTCCTAAAATGTAGGATGTTCACTATGACATTTTGTCTCCTATTCCAGATCAAGAAGTATCTCATACATGCAACTTTTCCCACATCCTCTGCTCCGTAGCTTCTCAGTGACTCTAAACCAAGCTGCAGGTTTATCTGAGGTAGAATTGCTAAAAAGAAAAAAAAAATTAAACCTTTTGTTGCCATTAAGATTCTAGTGGCTTATTTACTTTTGTCTTACTAATAATAGTAATTAGCAGATATTTTTCTACTCCATTGTATGAAGTAGGCAGACTTGAACTGTGTCTTAAAATCAGCAGGTGATCCTTCCAGCAAGGAGATGCTCCCATTTAATACTCTTTACATAATCTTTCTTGATCTTTTGAAACACAGAAAAACAGTGAACTGAGAACCCTGTGAACACTTTATTAATTTATTGTAAAGACTTAGAATTTGTGAATACTGACTGTTGGAGCAGTAAAGGTTAAGAGATCCCCTTTGCAGAATGTTTATATAATTAAATTCTTAAATCTCCACCACTTAATGGTACTAAAAGGTTGTCTTTGATTCAGAATAACTCTTCTGATGTGCAAGTGCAAATTTGATAATTCTCATGGGAAGATAACATTCAGAACAGAGTTCTAAAGCTGAACTTTTAAGGAACTGACAAGGTAGCCAGGCATACAAAATGTGCTTGCAATTGCACACTCATTTTGCATTCCTTGGCATGAACTTCTGCCATAATTTGTAAGCCTAATTGGGCATTTGTGTTGTGTAGTTACTTGATTTGCTTTCAGTTAGTTGTTAATTATTCAAGAATATGAATACACTACTTTATAAGCTTTATATGAAAACTCAATTCTGTCTAAAGAAGTGTATTTGAGGAGACCAACATAATATGAAAGATACTTAGTTTTGTTGGTTTCTTTTGCATTAAATGTATATAATACTTAGAGCTGAGTGAAAACACAACTGACATTCTCTATAGATTTGACATCCTCTAAGGTTTGTTTGAGGTGAAGGGGTTGGAAATACGGTTACTTCTTGTGTACCTAAGAACCATGTCTTCAGAATTTCACTTTACAATCACTACAGATTATTAGTGGTACGTTATAGCAGAGGAGGCAATAGCCTGTGGCTCTGAAAACAGCTAGAGCACGTTTATGACCAGTTACTGTAGATGGACTTTTGTGCTCTGTTACAGGTAGCTAGTCAGAACATTCAGCGAGTGTTTGCTACAGCACAAATGCGAGTGTTATCACAATCAGTTTCAGGCATCACTAGAACTACCTCCCACTGTTGCTCATTCATTATATGTATTCTGGTAGGTGAATTCTACTGCTGCCTGCATTACAGGAGGAGCTTACTGAAGCCTTATCTACATTTAATGCGAGCCCCTTGCACTTTGCGGTTCCTTTTTCTGTTGAATCTCTTCACATAGTTGCTGCTGCTTGCAAGCAAGCCATCCCCTGGCCTCAGGTGCCCACGCAGGAATTGCACTAGGTTTGCAGGGATCTGTCTTCTCTTCTGGTAGATCTGACCCATCACAATGTATCTGCTGCCTGCAAGGGAAATGAGATTTCTGTGTTACGAAGAAAACATTGATTCATTCACTGCACTCACATTAAAGACAATAGATCTATGAATAGATAAAAAGTTAGACCCTAGCAAAATACATCCTGGGACTTAGGGGTTGTACTTGCATGTGAATTAATTATTCAGCTGTACTGCAACTAGAAGGTTTAGTGGGGAAATGTTGGTATCTGATAAATCTGCAATTAGAATGGAAACTAGCCTATTTACAAAGAGCTTATGCTCCTGCTTAATTTTATTTAAGCAATCCTGGAAACCCTTGCAGTCATCTCAGAACTGGGTAAAGTTGAAGGGCTGTACTGCTACCTGGTTTCTTCATGCAGGTGGGTCTCTTACCAAGTTGCAGAAGTGGGGTAGAAAAAACCCTCCAGTTTAAGCACTTTTTCTTTCAAAATAACACAACCCAGGATGAGCCTTTTGAACAGAGGCAAACTAAAATTGCACTGCATGCAGGAGGAACAGTAGAGTGGATTTAGCTGGAATTGTTTACCAAGTTTGAAGTCTGGACATGGTTTGTTGCAGTTGAAAGAATCCACAACTAGAATGTGAACTCGGAAGAAGAAGCCATCAGGAGTAATATACAGGCGACTCATCTTGTACAGTCCATCACTATTTACCAAAAGTGTAATCAAGTGGACTCCACTCCCCAGTCTTTCCATGTTATAAACAATTCCATTCACTGCTGTTTTAAGTGCAAAAAAAAAAGAAGCATCAGATTACATATCGTAGTGGTAACTCACGGTAAATGTGAAGACACATTTAAAATACTGTAAATACCAGCACAAAAATTTGGTGCAGTAATGGGCAGGACTGAGAGTAGAAGTTGCTTTGAATGATGACATCGGATGACTTACTAACATTTCTGTTCTTTACAGCTCTGAGATCTAAGTGAAGTTTATAAAGAGGTTCAAAATAAAGCGATGGTTTTAGAACTGTTCCTCACCTCGATATTCAAAATACTTAGGTGACAAAGTCAAACTTACAAGATTTAGACACTACAGTGTAGTCCAAAGCTAACCTACTAATAAACCACTTTGGCTTTGAAAGGAAAGGCCCTCGTCACATCAAGCAGCAAGGGCACCAAGAAGGCAATGTCATGCTATCTGGCAATTTCTCCATGCTATCTACTCAATTCCTGGTTTTAATAAGTAGTGGAAATGGAAAACAACCGTGTTAGGTGTTAAGAACTTCTGTAACTGGCATTCTACCCACACCACTGAGAACTTTGAGTCTGTGGCTGTAAACATAGAGAACTGAGAAATGCTCTCTATGATCACAGCAGTGGAACTTGGCTGATGTCTTTTTTTGTACCTGGCTTCTTCGGTGTAAGACTTGGAGGAGGCTGCTATTAAGAAAGGCTGAAAGGTCCAAAGGTTTGTCACTGTAAGGCCTATGTTTGACAGGAATGCATGAGAGTTGTAAAACAAATAATAATAAAAATACATAACATTTGTAGAAAGCACTTCCTGACTTCTCTATTTAGAGAAAACAGATGTCTTGTAATGTGTTTATATTCTGCAAATGGAAACATCTGCTACCAGTAGGCATGTATTTTGCTCATCTCTTAAAATACTGTGGGAAAAAGTTGCTATTTGACGTCATAAGTGTAAGGAAAGATTTCAGTCAGAAAATGCTCTTCAGTACAAAATTACCAAGTTATTTTCTAACATCTTTAGCTATGTCAGCTTGGGTGCAAGGACTGAAGGCATGAGTCCTAAGGAACGTCATGAAGAATCCTCCATACAGAACGCATGCTGTTTGGGTTACTATTTATTTTTGTTTGCATCTTTACCCCCCAGATCATAAACTTGTTCTAAGTAGTGTGGGCTGTTATACAGCTACAATGTTTAACGTCAGAGTATTGAACACTGTTGGTCTTCAATTCTGTAGATCAGCAACAAGAGCACTGTCTTCTGCACCAGAGTGGAAAGACCAGAGTGGAAAGTAGAGGAAATGGGGAAAAAGAGCACTGGTCCAAGGCAGAGAAGGAGTAATGTAAGACTTGGTACTATTGTCATGGTACTCTTACAAATAGCTGTGATGGCTCCCTTTAATGCACTTAATGATTATGTAGTGAAATAGTACCCTAAAAGCAGAAGTGAAGTGTCAAAGAGTACATCAACAAAGATGGCCTTGGCTTTGTATGCCTTATGGAAAACAGCTTACCAAATTCACTTGTGCAATAGGCCTCCACTTCATCTCTCTCTTTCCTGCACTCAGTCAGACATGCCTTCTCCATATCAGCACCTAGAACAGGCACAGAGACTGAGGGACAGCAATGTGCCCTTCTGGGATATTTTCTTCAAATTATGGCACCCAACCTTTGGAAAGCTCACAGTGTTCCTTACTGGAGCAGTCTCCTCCCTTACCTTTCTTCAGCATGCTGAAATGGTCTGGCAAGCTGGGTGGCTGGCGGTTGGTGACCCAGGAGGGTTTGCTGATCATTTTCCACAGTTCAGTGCTTTTGTAGGGGTTTATCTTGCCTGGTCGGTTGAAATGATCCAGCACGTTAGGATCAGCTGACTCTGCTGTTCCAGAGTCTAGAAAAGGATGAGTCCCCAGTAAGGATGTGATCTTATGATAGGAAGTTGCTGTGTGCTGGAAATGAGCAGACACACTGTTAGCAGCCTCAGCCAGCCGCCTGTCCGCCTGCTTTCTGTTTGCCTGATTCAAGTCAAAGGAGGTGGGAAAAGGCCCCTCGCTTGCAGGTTCCAGAGGCAGGGTCCCTCCATACTGCTGGAGGTGTTTCCTCAGCCCTGTGCTGTTTTCTGTAGAAGGCTTGGTTCGTTTCTTTTTGTCTGAAGAGAAGGAGGTGATTTCAGGAGGTTTTGGGTGCTGCAGGTTGGTGAGAGACAGAAATTGGTGTTCGGTGGGATCCTCTCTAGAGGTGGCCCAGGCTGGCAGTTTGGCTTGGCCAGGTGTAGCATCTGCTGAGTTACACCCATATTTGCTGAGAGACTGGCTGGCTTTCTCAGGACAGGGCAGGGATCCTACATTAAAAAAAAAAGAAAGAGAGAGAGAGCAAGTCAGAATTGGTTCTTATTCCGTGCCCATGTGAATGGGAAGTACCTGGCAGATTGGAGTGTCTGCTCCATAAATGAGGCCTTCAAGTGCATGATGGTATAACTCACAGCTCAACTGATAAAACAGAGCTCTTCATTTGTCTGTATTCAGCCACAGAAGGCCTGATACAGAGAATGCAGCTGTGAGCAAAACACAGGAGATTTGCATTTTTACTTTATTATTGTTGTAAATTAAAAACATGACTTCTAAACAAACCCTTTTCTCAAAAGCCTGAATCTCCAGGGAGCATCTGAGGAAACAAAATTCACATTGCCGTTTGGGCTGCTTATTTAAAAGACCATGACAACAGAACTATTTGGTTTTCCCATCCATGGGATGCCTTATTGACAATGTCATCTGGACTTTTCAGCGGCTTTCGGCTTTGAACGCTACTGAAAAGATCTTTATCCGCAGTTTTGGATCTCTGACTTTTGCACTGCAGAGTTGTATGGGAGTCCAAGAAGACCTAGTCTGGTAGCTAGGCTATTGCTGCTGAGTAACAATTATTTCAAGCCTTTTCTTAAGCTGAGAGGACGAGCTGAAAAAGACAGGAAGCGTCTGGGACTGCAGCGACAAAGGGACAGGCTTAATGGCACTGCTTGTGCAAGCCGGACAGTTACCTAGAGCTTAGTTTATATTTCACCTTGATTGCTCAGAGCTCACAAAGCAAAAGACTTTTCTTTTATGCTGGGAAGAGAGAAATTGCCTCTTGCAGTTCTCTCTCCTTGTGCTCGAGCCCTCCTTTAGTTGGCCAGTGTAGAGTTTTAGAGCAGTTCACCCACACACAGCCGCTGTCTGGGTGTTCGCTCTCTGTGGTCAGCACTGTGTAGGAGGCTGATCCCGACTGCTTATGTGAAAAGAGATATTTGACTTACACAGATGAACAACATCCTGGTTTATCTTCCATAACCGACTTTCAGCTGCTGACCTTGCCATTTCTCCCCCTCTGCTCTCACCAGCTGCTGTCATGGGAAAGATTCCCTGATATTTGGGCTGGCCACATGTAAAGTCAAAAGAATGCCCATGAAGAAAAGGGTGGAAGAAGTCCAAGCAAGGAAAGTAATAGGCAAGGGTGTTATGGAGCTGTTCCCATATGAAGCTGTGTGCTCTGAACAGGTGTTTTAGATTTGGCTTTTATAAATGCACTTTTCTGTCAGTTTATTGAGCCCTCTCAGTCATGGGCTGTAACGAGAAATGGTTCATTTTCCCTACTCCATCTGTTCAAGATGCTGAGCCTCGTTCTGCTACACCAGTGCGTTCCTGTGCACCTCTTGCAACCTAAGAAATACAACTGCACCATCATCAGTTCCCGGACTTCTCCTTCCTTATGGAAAACATCATCTTTAGTTGCAGAAATAAGATACACATTTGTTCACGACAGCTTGCTCCGGGGGATAAATTCTAGACCTAGAATTTATCAGTGCAGAGAAAGAGAGTAAAAGGGCACAACCACACGCAAATGGAGAAATCCCACATGCAGAAGGAAGGCAAACTTCACCTGCAGACCAGTGCAGGCAGGATGGATGCAGAGCACCAGCTGCCTCCTGCTTCGGGCAGGTGCTCCTCGTTCTTTCTGACCCCAACAAAGCAGCTGCTACAGTTTACATTCCCAACCCGTTTCTTTCCTGAGCCTTTCCGTGATCAGCGCTACAACTTGCTGGAGTGCGGGCTGCTTTGGTGAGAATTTGTGGAAATGCCTGTAACCTCCCGTATCACCGCAGACAGATGTGTGCCCAGCCCCGCTGCGCGTGTGGAACTTACCGGCCGCCGAGCTGCAAGACGATCTAATGACAAAGCAGAGGAGCCAGAGCGCTTCGGTTGTCATTTTGAAGTCAAAGTTTTGTTTTTCTTTTTTTTCTTTTTTTTTTTTTTTTTTTTTTTTTTCCAGCCTCAAAATGAAGCGGAGTCTTTTACGCCCTTCCCCCGATTCATGCTAATGAGAGGCAGCCTTAGGGGAAACGGGAACCGCTGCCGGACAGCCCCCTGGAGCAGCACCAAGCCCGCACCCACAGCCCGCAGTGCGCGACGGGTGGACGGGAGGGTCAGAGCGAGCTTTGGGCCGGGGCAGCGCCTCGCTCTGCCCGTGGAATTGCTCCGAGGAGAGCCGGGGAGCGCGAGGCTCTGCTGGGCGCGGAGCCGCCGTGCGGGCGGCGGATGGGCGCTTCGGCAGCCAAGGCTGAGCGCTACGGGAGGAACCCGAGGGCTCCAACCGCGCGGCCGGAGCATCGCCCGCCCGGGGGCCGCTCCTGTGCAGCGGTGATCGCCCGGCGCGAGGGGAAGCCCTGCGGACCGCAGACCCCGCTTTATGTCTCAATGTTACACCCCAAGCCAACCCCGATGCGTTTAAGCGGGTTTATCCCACTGAAACAGGCGGCCTCGTTACCGGACCGAAGCCCCGTTGTGGCCGCCGGAACGGCCGCGTCGCAGCTCCCGGCGCTGAGAGCCGCCTCGGGCAGCGCAGCCACGGCCCGGCTCTCCGCGCTGCGGAGCGGGTGTCTGAAGTACCGGCACCGCCCGGCGGCTCTGCGGAGCCCCTCACCGCTCGCTCAGCCGCACGGCGAAGCGGCGACCGCTCCGCTCCGCGCACCTCACGGCTGCTCCGAGGGGAAGGACGGGGCGGCGGTACCGGCACCGCGCTCGGCACCCCGCCGGCAGGGCAGCGGCTGAGGGACTCGGAGCCGCGTAGGGTTGCGGCCAAAAGTGTGGAGTGCGGGATCGCACGCGCTGCGCTCCGAGCTACTCGGCGGGAGATCCCCGCGCTGAATAAATATACTGAGCTGCCACAAAATATCGGCGGCACGACCCAGATGGGACTCGAACCCACAATCCCCAGCTCCGGAGGCTGATGCCTTATCCATTAGGCCACTGGGTCACCCAGCAAAAGCTGCGAGCGCCGTGCCGTAAGAGCCCCGCCCGGCGGCGCTCGCTCCGCCCCTGCAGCGCTTCAATGTCCTCCCTGCTCGTGAGCGGGAGGCCCCTCCCCGTCAGCTCCTCCCCGAGGCTCCGCCCCCTGAGCTTCGCGCGGGCCCGTGCGGCCCTCAGAGGCGGGCTCGCGCCTCGGCCCCTCCCTCCCCTGTCCCGCGCGCCTCTGTCACGCGCGGTGGCCGTTGGTTCCCTCAGCGCGGCGCGAGGACGTGAGCGCCGTTCCCTCAGCACGGGTGGCTGCCTGAGGAGATCCGCCTTTCCCGAGGTCCTCTCCTTTAAAAACTCCCCCTCACGGCCTCCCGAACCGCCGTTTCCCGCCCCTCGGCTGCGGTGCTGCGCCGGCAGCAGCCCCGCCCCGCCCCGCCGCATCTCCTCCGCTCGCAGCGTTCACCCGTGAGCGGTCGCGGCGTTTTTCCCTTCTGTTCTCCCCGCGCTGTCCCGATTACCTCAGCCGCAGTTCAGTCTCTGCAGGGCCGCCCATCCCACCCGGGCCGCGCGGCCCGTTCTGCAGTAACGTGTTGGCTTCCCTCAGCTGCCCGCCCTCACCGCCCTTTAGGCCGCCGTCCCGTGTGTGGAAGAGGCCTTCAAGCGGGCAGCGCGCAGCTCGGCTCCCTGCGGCCCTCCCTGCCCTGCCCTGCCCTGCCCTGCCCTGCCCTGCCCTGCTCCACACGGCGCCCTCCAACCGGTGATGACCATCTCTGCACACCTCTGTGCCTCTTCTTTGGCCCCCCGGGTGTTTTAGCTCAATTTCTACTTCGAAACTGCTTTTTTTTTTATGTTATTTTCCCCATCTGCCATTTCGGTTGACTGATGTGCTTTCTCTCCTCTTGGCTTCCTTACCCTTGCTTGAGCGGTGAGGGATGTTATTATAAAAAGCAGCACAGGAAGGCACAAAACCAGCTGTGTAAAACGTGGCTGGTAATTCCTTCTTCGCTCCGTTTATCTTTGCTGTGTGCCTCTCCAGATCGGTGCGGTCTGTGTGATGCAGTGGTTTAATTGGCAGGGATCAGTGTGCATGTTTACCCCGACTTGTCCTTTAGAGGCATTGTAGTGCTGGGGTTCTGGCAGCCTTGGTTCCTTGGTTGGGATCCACAGTAACGATTGTATGATTTTATTTTGATTCGCACTAATTGCTGCTGGATTGCCTTAAATTCCTGTATGCCACATTGGGATCACGCGGGGGATCTCAGTAGAAGCCCTCGATGGCTGATGGTTAGTGGTGCAGAAATGAGGCTGTACGTGAGGAAATGAGGTGTTACTGACGCAAATCGCTCAGGACGGGCAGCACGAGTGAGAAAAACCTGCATGCTCTCAGCCCGCTCCGGGTACAGTAAACCCGTGGCCACCCCGCTCGTTGCCCGGGCGCCACGAAACTACAAATCCCAGCATGCCACGGCCGTCAGTCCCCAGGGTTCCGGCCCCGCGTGCGGCGCGTTGGATGCTGGGAGTTGTAGTGCCGGGAGGGGGGCGGCCGTTTGAGTGCGTGACGTTCGCTGAGCTCTTCCGGAAGAACGGCGGAGATTTTCTCCTTTTCATCGCGAGATGAGCTGCATTTCAAACTGGCCAATCAGAACGTTGCTATGGCTCGAACTGGCCAATGGCAGAGGGAGGGAGCGGGAAATTTAAATCCCGCCTGGAGCCGCTGAGGTTAGTGGTAGCGTGGTCTTTGGCTGGGGAGGTAGGAGGGCGGCTTGTGTGCGGTGCCTGCAGCCGAGGTGCGGAGCCGGAAAGGAAGGGGGTATTGTAGAGGTGCAGTGAGGAGCAGGGTGCGGTGCAGTGGGGGTGTAGAGCGTGTGCTGCTGTGTCTGAAGGGACTGTGCTCTGTTGGCGGTGGGGCATGGCGGCGCTCTCGGCTCCTGCTCTGGAGCTTTCTGGGTCTCTGCGGTCTCGTGCTGCTGCTGAAAATGAATCTGATGGGGTTGGCACCTCCCGGAGGGGTTTTCTTGTTTTGGTGGGGCTGTGTCTGAGATGAACGTAGCTTTTCTGTAGTGGTTCACATCGGAGCTGGCCTTGTTGTGGAGGCCTGCTTCGTTGCTGGCGTAGCTGCTACTGGCTGTACCGACGTGGTGAGCTCGCTCAGAGGGCGTTCCTGGTGCTAGGGCTCTGCTCTTCTCGAGAAGGGCTGGGGTGGGTGTGGGTGGTGAGCCTGTGCCATAGATATAACGATGTAACGGTAATAGCTTATATGTGCTAAAACGCTGTCTATGGGAATGAAAACTATGTTTGTGACTCAGAGGGTGTTAAAATGCGTTCTGTTAATGTTAGAGGCTGCTATAACAGCTAAGCTTCTTAAAAAGGCAGCTTGTTATGTTACTAGTATCTTTAATCAAGTCAGAGGGTGTTAATGTAATTGCTATTCTCTTGGATTCAATTCTTGAGTCTACCTTCTTAATTTGTGTTCCTGTGACCTAAGCTTCTAGTGTTTACCATTTACTCTGATTTTTCAGGCTTTTTTCTCTCCTCGTTTCTCTTTTGAACTCTAAGCAAGATGTCCTCCAATGAGAATACCAATACAGCAGCTCGCTTGAACAGATTCAAAAACAAAGGAAAAGATACTACAGTAAGTACTCAGATGCAAGTAAATATTATAGCTAGCTATCAATACTTTATAAATAGAGTAATAAAAGTAAAGAACTTAATATGAATGTATTTTCTCCAGGAAATGAGAAGGCGGCGTATTGAAGTCAATGTAGAACTGAGGAAAGCTAAAAAAGATGACCAGATGCTTAAAAGAAGAAATGTTAGCACTTTTCCAGATGATGCCACTTCTCCCCTTCAGGAAAATAGGAGCAATCAGGTAAGTAGGTACCCAGAACAAGCACACTTCAGTGGCCACACAAATACAAATTTCTTCTCTTGTGGGACATTGTACAGTTATATTCACATTATCAACTGAAGGCTGTGATGATTACTTTAATAGACTACAACTTAGATCCTTAAGTACTTTGTGAGCATGTGCAATATTTATACTCTTCTCTGTGCTGCTGATGAGGTATCTTGTAAAGAGCTTGGGCAGTTGTGTAAACTTGCTGTCTCTATGTATCAGTATCAGTCACGTGAAACAATGTTTTCAATCATTCAAATAAAAGTAGATTAAACTAGCTGAATTTTTTGGAGTGTCACATAAGGGCATAACTTTTATGGAAGGACGTGACTGAACTGTGGCCTCTTCCTAGCATTGTGTAAAGGCTTCTGCAGATGTGTGTCTCTCCCACCAAAGTGCTCATGGAACTTTTTTGTACAGGTTTCTGCACACTGGTCTGTTGAAGAAATAGTCAAAGGAGTTAATAGCAATAATATGGAGCTTCAATTGCAGGCTACTCAAGCTGCCAGGTAAGGAGATCAGAGGTAACCAGCTCTGTGCACGAGTCAGTAACTAGGCGTGGTCAAAGGTTTGGCTTGTGAGCCTAAACACTGAAGGGCAACAACTGTGGCTCTTCTCATCAGACAGCACTTCAACAGACACATAAATTGGCTTTACATACAATGTTTAGGAATAATTATTTTAGTCACAATATTATAGAGACCATGTGGCTTCTGAATGTTCAGAGTGCAAGTATGCCAAACTTCCTCTCACCTTATCAGATCTAAAGTCTAAGTTGCTAAACTCTAGTAAGCTTTTATATAACTTCAGTGCTGCTTCTGACAGTCTCTACCCTTTTGTCTATTGAGCCATGTCTATCGACTTGGATGTATTATAACTTGCAGGTCTGCTTTGCTTCTGGAGTTGTAACAGAACCTCTTGTGAAGTAAAGACATACCTAAACAATGCTCACCAGTTTAGGAAGCTAGTATTTAAGCTGTCTGTAGCTTGTCTGAATTTTCTCTTCTTGTATTTTCACTTTGCCTACCTTAATCTTTCTCTCTCACTTGTTTTTTTTTGCTCTCACTTTTTGTTGTGGATTATTTTATACTGACTTAGTGGAATCTGTTGTTCAGATCTCTGCAGACATAAATAACACTTCCTGTTTGTATCCCTCCTTAGGAAACTCCTTTCAAGAGAGAAGCAGCCCCCCATAGACAACATAATTCAGGCTGGTTTGATTCCAAAATTTGTCTCCTTCTTGAGTAGAGCAGACTGTAGTCCTATTCAGTTTGAATCTGCCTGGGCGCTTACCAACATCGCTTCTGGCACATCAGAGCAAACCAAGGCAGTAGTAGATGGTGGGGCTATTCCAGCCTTTATTTCACTTCTGGCCTCCCCTCACATTCACATCAGTGAACAAGCTGTGTGGGCATTAGGAAATATTGCAGGTATGTCAATATGCTACATAACTTTCAAACCTATTCCCTTCTCTTGAAATAAGAGAACACTATTAGTGATTTGCTGTGTATAGCATGCTGAACTTGGAAACTACCTTGGTGATGTTCAAGTACATACATGATCTACAATGTAGAGTATGCTATGGACAAGTCTTTACCTTCAGTTTTGGCTTATGTCATGTATAACCTGGCAACCTGTAAGTTGTATTAAATGGGTCACACATTAAAATTCAAGTTTCAAAAAGCTATATAACCATGCTGTGACACAGAACTTTTCCCCTAGAGGCTTTTGACTTCTATCAGTGAGCTCTTCTGTGTATGCTGACTTGAAGGAGGAAGCAAGTGGCTCATGTAATTGTATATGTGATGGCCAGTGCTCTTTGCTTTGTAACAGTTACTAGTAGTTTCATATCAATGAGTGTACTGAAGTTTCTCATGCACCTTTCAGGATTACTTGATCTGCCAATGTTGAATCCCATTCTCCAGAATATAGTATTATAACTGCATTGTTGTTTTCTTACACTTGTGTTTTTATTGGCATAAGACTTAACAATCAAAATATTCCTTCTTCCAATTTTACTTATTTCTTATCTAGCCCTTAAGTGTAGTATCATGTTCCATTATGAATGATTGTATTCATGCATACTTCTGTTCCTTAACAGGTGTTTTTTCATTATCTTTATAGGGGATGGTTCTATCTACAGGGATCTAGTTATTAAATTTGGTGCAATTGAACCACTGCTGACTCTACTAGCTGTTCCTGATCTCTCTTCGCTGGCTGTAAGTTTACAGTGTTACTCAAAGTACAATTGCCGATGAGTGAGCCAAGAGTTAAAGTAACAGATGTTAATGGTTTGTTTCAACTCTTGCAGTCTGGATATTTACGGAATGTTACCTGGACCCTCTCAAACTTGTGTCGTAACAAGAATCCTGCACCACCCATAGAAGCTATTGAGCAGATTCTTCCAACTCTCGTCCGACTCTTGCATCATGATGATCATGAGGTGTTAGCAGACACGTGCTGGGCACTCTCCTACCTAACAGATGGTTCCAATGACAGGATAGAAGTTGTTGTGAAAACTGGATTGGTGCCACAGCTCGTCAAACTGCTGGGATGTGGTGAACTGCCAATAGTGGTAAGCTATCGGGCATGAAAGTTGCCATTGCTTGACTTGAGTTGTGGATAAAACTGAGGTTATAATAGCATTCATTTAAACTGAAGGGTCTTTTCATACAGAAATCTGAAGCTTGTTCCAGATTTTGTGTACATAAGCCTTGAGCTTCTATCTTGACTGAAAACTATCCCAGATGAGGCATAAACTACTGTTGAAGAGTGACCTTGACACATGATGAATGGCTTTTACACACAGGGCCAGGATGACGATCAACGTTCCTTAAAGCTTGGCTTCAATTCTACACTATAGTTGGAAATACTCCCTCCAAGAACAGTGTTTAGAATTGGGCTCTTTGCATAATGTAACTACATTGCATCACTGGTATAATTACTATATCAATACTTAAACTTTCTGTCTTGAGTAGTTTGCAGATGAGTCTCGAAGGTATGTAGTCTTAGTGTGTTTAATGTCTGTCTATATAATGCTCATTATGAGCTTTAAGCTTGTCTTATCAAGCTGTTAACTAGAAGACTGGAGCAGAGAGTCATAAATGATGGCTGTTTCTTCAAGCATGGCTTAGATGACACTGTTTTTTTCCTAAGTACTGCTTTCACATCTGTTTCAGACTCCTTCACTGAGAGCCATAGGAAATATTGTTACTGGTACTGATGAGCAGACACAGATTGTTATTGATTCAGGAGCCCTATCTGTCTTTCCGAGTCTCCTATCTCATCATAAAAACAACATTCAAAAAGAAGCTGCATGGACAATGTCCAACATCACAGCTGGACGTCAGGACCAGATTCAGCAAGTTGTAGATCATGGCCTTGTGCCATATCTCATTGGTGTTCTGAGGAAGGTAAACAAAAGTTGCATCTGCTGTGCTATGGCTTTGGCCATTATTGTTGTCTGTATTCTAATACTTTTTTTTTTTTTAACTTTCACAGGGAGATTTCAAATCTCAAAAAGAAGCTGTGTGGGCTGTGACTAACTATACAAGTGGTGGAACAATTGACCAGATTGTGTATCTTGTTCAGGCTGGTGTTGTTGAGCCTCTACTGAATCTCCTCACTGCTAAAGACAGCAAAACTGTGCTAGTAATTTTGGATGCTGTTTCTAATATCTTCCTGGTATGTGGATGCAGTATACTCAGTTGCTGTCCAGGTTGCTGCCAGATGGTTTTTCAGTAGAGTTAGTACCATACACCTTTGTTACTTCATAATTGTCTTTTCCAGGCTGCTGAGAAGATAAATGAGACTGAGAAACTTTGCCTCATGATTGAAGAGTGTGGAGGTCTAGACAAAATTGAAGCTCTTCAGTCACATGAAAATGAACAGGTGTACAAGGCCTCAGCCACCCTGATTGAAAAATATTTCTCAGCAGAAGTAAGTGGCTGCTATGTAACTTCACTCTGCTTTTGTATTCTAGCACTGATTAATTGATTAAAATGTTACTGATCTTTCCAACTTTGTTTCCTTCTAGGAGGAGGAGGACCAGAATGTTGTACCAGAATCTACTGCTGCTAGTTATACTTTCCAAATTCAGGGCAGTACTCCTGATACTTTCAACTTCTAGATGCTGGATACACTGCAACCACCTACAAGCCATTTGGTGTACAAATGCTGCCACTTCTGTGTCTTAATAGCCCCTCTTTTTTTTTTTTTTTTTGTGACCTCTAGCACTTTGTCCAACTGAAACATACTTGAACAGTTCAAAACTGTACATATGTGAATTTTTAACTGTTAAATTCATTCTGACATTCTTGTAAATACATCTTCTCACTTCTGTCTTCTAGCCTTTTACTGTCTCTGTCTTACAAAAAAATGCAAGTAGGTAATATAAGCTTCTTTTTAAATGTAACCCCTTGCTCTGTGTAATATATTAGAATCAAAACACTGAGTAAGCTTTTAAGGAGGATTCATTTCAAGTTCAATAAAGTGTTAACAGTACATCAAATTAATTGTGTCAATTGCTTTCCTGAATGGGGACTGGTATGGTAAATGCCATGAATCAAAACATACATAATGGTAAGAATGCCATTACAAATCATGAAACTTGACTCCAAAGTTGGTTAATCAATGGTAAGTACATTCAGATAGTCTTAGCATAGGTCCTTAGAGCTTAAAGAAGTTACCTTAGTTACCTGCTTAAAAAGGGAACTTTATAATAATATCTGGTCTTGTGTTATGTACCCTCATGTCTATCTTAAAATGCTTATATGAGTCAGATTTAGATGCAACTCAGTTCTTCACAAAAGATATCTGATCTTTAAGTGGTAGCTTTTCCTAAATAAATTACTGTTATTCTTATGTGTTGTTACTACTTCAGCAAGGACTCATTTGAAGTAGTGGATACCATTCTCACTTTGGTTACTGTATGCAAGGCTACTATGGTCTGTTACACAAAAGTAAAAGTGGCTGATCTATGTATGCTTCAGCAGGAGTTCCAGCTAAAGAATAAATGTGATAATAGGAGTAGAAATCTGCTGTGCTACAGCAAATGGGGCCAAGCTTATACTTACACAAATTTCTCAGATTTTCAAATAGCTTTAATTTATGATAAAAGTGTTGATTAAGCTCAGATGTTATGTACTACTGGATCATGGTAATGTTACGAGAGCTATCAATCCTTTGTGTGTCTGCTTCTATTTTTATGGTTAACAGCAATACACTTCCTTGTAGAGAAAAATTACTGGCTATACTGGATCAACTGAGCTAGCATAAGCTTATTTCTGCTGATCTCCAAGTATGGAGTTCATCCATGGAGCTAAGCCCATGGCTCTTAAATTGCTGGTACATCACATCAACAGGGAGTTGTAAACTTCTCCTGCTGTAGGAGATGTTTCTGAACTGACTAATGATGATTTCTTGCTTTTGACTGCACTGTTTTATCCTGGCCCAGAACAAAGCTACAGCAAGTAAGCTTTGCAATCATTTATTGCACCTAGTATGTATAGTAATGCTATTATGTTTTGGTTAAGTTCATATTTCAGTGTGACTAACTCTGTCTCTATCTGTCCTCTAGAGATAATGGTGCTGCTAAGTAGGTGATGATTAAATATGCTTTGGTGACAACTGCACAATAAACTCTTGGCAGGGACAAAGAGGTGGTACAATGCTAGACTGATGGGTAGAACATAAGTCTAGCAACACAGATACTGCAGCACTTGTAGGATGTGATTACACTATTCCCATTGTGGTAGCCACGTAAAGTAGAAGGAATCATTTGCCTTGTAATGCTGAAGCTTTAAATATTCTAAGAAACGTTAAGAGCAGCAATGAAAGACAATGGGGAAGGTCTTTTATGCCTCTGCAGTCAAGACTTCTGTCTCCTTTGCTGTGCTGTCAAATCTGCAACTTTGACCTACAAATACTTGCAGTTACAGAGTTGTGTAAATGTCTATAGAGAACTAAGGAGCTAGCCTATATAAAAGTAGTTATGCAAAACCAGCTTTCATAAAGCTACTGGTGCCACATAATTATGTCTGTGGGTTGTGAAACATAATTTAGAATTCTTGAGTAATTTTAGGCGTCTAATTCTGTAAAATAATTCATCTCCCGGCAGGGGGTGCTACAGGCAGCACCACAGTTCTTTCTTCTCTGCTTTTAAGAGATGGGCATGGAGTTTCTTCTAATGTGAAGGACTCAGGGATGACATGCTTTAGTTTTTCCTTAAAGAGAAATATAAAACCCATCAAGAATTGTCCTGTAATTACAGGAAGCCGTTATGTTCTAATTCCTGAGTATTTAACAAGACTAAATATTTTATGTAAGGTGTAGTCTTCTAAGCATGTTTTTTCAGGTACTGCTGTTTTAAAATGCACAGCTCACTTCCGTTGCTTTTTAGCATATATACAGTTATATGACTTTCTCTGGGATGAGAATTGAAAATGCTTATTGAATAATATTACCTCTACTTTTCTGTCACAAGGTACTGGTCTCAGAGTTATCTAATATACTGAGTTAATAGAATATTGTCATCTTTAGATGCCTGATAAACCAATGCTTTGTTTTTATCCACAAAAAGTGTATTCAACCTATCCACCAATAAGCCCTGCTCTTGGCAGAATGCACTTCCACAAGCAATAATCTACAGTGATTATGAGTAAGTGACAGGGGTGAGTCACTCTCTTATTTCAAGAAAATGCAAACTATTTGTGAGATTAAAACCTAGTCACCCGTTAGGTTGTGTTTTTAGGTTTAGAAAATAACAGGAGCAAAAGGGGAGAGGAGAGTTGTTAACTCTCTTGGTTAGATTTGTTAGTAGCTTTGTTTTGTTGTGTATTGTTTTGGTGTTAACCAGCTTGACTTAAGAGCTAACCGTATTATTTGGCAGATACTTAATTCAGGGCAAAGGCTGAAATAAATGTCTGATGGCCTGTGTCAGTCTGCCGACTTGTCTGTGCTGAAAGCAACAACAACAGACTCCTGCTGACATCAACTGGCTTGGAATGGATTTGTTGCTAATTCTTCTTTATTTGTGGCAAGATCCCAACAAACATAACAGCTTCTGAAATTCTGATGCTGGGAAATGCTGTTGGTGTGATTGCTTCCACTTGCTACTTCCTAAGATGTGAAGGAAGAGCAGAAGCTTTGCAGTCTTGTTCTTCGGTAGGGTGTCCACATATTTTCCACTAAAAGAAGTGTTTGAAGTTGTAGAAAAGCTAGATCTGGTCAATTTAGGAGAAATCTGTTCTTGTTTTTGCATGATTTAAACTGTGAGATACTGTATTAAATGAAGCTAGTTCCTGCTGCATTACAGGAAATAATTTAAGTTGTATAGAACTATCTGATGATGTACCAGCAAAAAGAAACAGCTGCAAGTTGACTAGAAAAGGATTTCGCTAACCAACAGCATTTCATAGGTCTCTTCTGTTTCTAAATCTGCTTTGCAGAAGGGCAAACTGAGATATAAGTAAGTTATCCACAAATGTCTAGAAAGTACTGGGTAGAATTAACCTGGAGCCTGGGAATCCTGATGTCCATTCCTCTAGTGAACTCATGGGCCCCCCAGTTGTAATTATCCTTTTGCATGAATGTAAGGTTATCCCAGCAGTATTGAATCTCTTCTGTGATAAGGTATGAAAAAATGGTTGACTAAAGGATTAAACCATGGGAGTGTGTGCAATTTCTGGAAAAAGTACTGTTATTTCAAAGCAGAAGTAATGAATGAAAATTAATCGTGACTAGTCATATTTGGTGTGGAGAGGAAAACATTGGCATTTACACTTAAAACCTAATAGGAAACACGTTAACCCTTTGGCCTGAGTAAAAACCTTAAGTTTGATTCACCTTCAGAGGGATGTGTCAGGACAAAGGCCTGAGAGGGAATTTAGGTGAGCCCTCCTAAGGCTGGAAAAGGTGTACCTCACTTATTGCAGGTTTTAGAAATAATACATTCAGAAAAACATTCAAGCTGCAAGCCTGTAAAGGTGTTCAGTGTGTTGGAAAACACTTTGCTTTTACTGATCTATAACATGACACTTGATAAGTCAGGCAGAAACTCAGCCTGTAGACAGCAAAGAAAGAACCAGGAGCTTCACAGCACTTCATATGGAATAAGGGTCACTGGATTCCAGTCTGGTTTCTGACTGCAGAGCACTGTCTGTCTCAGACTGGCTCCAGGAAATGGACACTTCCACTGAAACCAAAAGATTTCGTGGAAGAGCTGTGGCCTGTTTCCAGGCTGTAGTTCACCCACTACCCTAGGGAGTGTCATTAATGGGAGGGAAGTAAAGTTGGGATTTGAAATGATGAGGTAAGGGGAGAAAAATTAAAGCAGAGTGGAGAAAAATCCCATTAATTCTTACTAAGCAGAATGTGACCGCATTAAAATGTTGTGCTTATTTAAACAAAACCATGGGCAAAATCCAGAAATTATGTATACATCATCTGTCAGGAAGGGAGTTTCAGTTGACTGATGTACAAATGGCAAAATCAATGGCACTCTGACTTCTCTGGGGAAGAGGTTGGGTTACATCCCTAGGCTTACTGAAAGAAGCAGTATAATGAAGAAGTTTTCTACGTTATTTCATATGTTTCTCAGTTTGCACTGAAATGCTAAATTAAAATTATGAGATCAGCTTTTGAATGTGTGATTTACATACATGTGTATACATATTATTTATCTATGCACACATATAAAAAGTGAAAAACTGCTTCATTTGTTATGTAGAACAGATTGGATTGTGTACAGGTTCACAGTGCTAGAATAGTTTTAATACCAGAAGTATGTAACTCTGCTCTGTGGGCATGTGGAAGAATGGATGTACAAAGTTATCACAAAATCTTGAATAATCTCCAAGGCACATTTCCATCATCTAAATCACTTCATTTTTATCCACTATATGAAACAGATGTAAAAATAGCTCTTTCATCAGTGGATTGCTACACATATTTGGGCTGCAGAGGTTTAATACTGTTCAAAGCAAGACTGTGAAATCATTTGCAGAATGTTACCGTTAATCAGAAGCAGCAATTTAATGTTACGTATCCATCCCTCTTCCCACCCCCAGCTCCCCTTCCCATTTCTGAGCAGGAAATGACACTTGGACGCAGCTCAGAATACTGACTTTCTGGACAGACTCTCTAGGAATGAGGAGGGACTTGAATTCTCTCCATATGTCATTTCCTTTCCCCTAATGGCTAAAAAAATAATGCTGTTGCCATCCATATAACTTGCAATAGAGAGCACATTACCAATATAGAAAAATAAATGGGGGGAACATGTGTGACTGGATGTTCACATTCCATTTCTCCAAAACTGCTCTGCAAAATTTGACTTAAGCAGAAATCTCTTTTCTCTGTGTAGAAAAACTGTTTCATATAGTTCCTAAAACTGAAGCTATTACCCCATCTGTGTGTATCAGCACCTGCAGACTGCAGCCAGGCATGGATTAAGAAACAAAAATGAAAGCAGAGTAGGGATGGCAGCAAATATGCAAGCTTTAAATTTAAGGAG